TGTAAGGAACTCAAAGTCCTTGGGGTGACCGATTCCCAGGAGGAGGCCCTGTTAGACTACAAATCCCATCATCTCCAGCTGCGGGGGTGGAGGGGTGGGATGAGAAAGAGAGTAATACCACACACTGCAAAGCATCCGATGCAGAAAACCTGCCCTGGGAATTTTGCTTAAAAAAAATCAAGAAAAATCTCTCCATTCTTCAGTCCGGCCCAGGGATGCTTGCTTGCTTGCTTTCTTGATCTGACTTTGTGCTAGAACTAGTTGGGGTTCTAGATCTCTCCAGCATGGCTTTTAAGACCCTCCCCGCAACAAGGAATTGATCATTCTCCGTCCTCTCCAGCCAGCCAATTCAACCCGAGAGATCCTAAATTCAAAGTTCTTCCCTCAAAGAAGGAATTATATGTCAGGAACAGCCAGTCCTGGTGCCTAACGCTATTCAGCAGGCTGAGAATACAAGCTTTCATTGTGCCCAGATGTAGAATCGTTAGCTAAAATACTGCCATATCTGTTCACAAACCACCATCTGGGGGCGTGGATAGGCTGGGGGTCACCTGTTAACCCAGCAGTGGCCAAGTTGTCATTCTGGGCAGCACCGGCCATGGCATCGCCAATCGCACAAAAATGTGTGCCCAGCTGGGCCCTGCAACGGCAACCAGCAGCTCAGAGAATCGTTAGAGTTCGAAGGGAACCCAGAGGTCATCGAGTCCATCCCGCTGCACACTGTAGGATTCGCAAGACCCTCCTCTTTGATAATAGCCAGTCTCTGTTTGAAAATCTCCAGGGAAGAAGCAAAACACACAAAAAAACCCTTCCTTGGATGCAATTACCTAATATTTCATCTAATATTCCCAATATTTAATTGGCACCTTAAATTTCATCCCATGAGTTCTAGTCTTGCCTTCTGGAGCAAGTGGGAAGAAACTTGAACTCTCTACCACAGGGGTGGCCAACCTTGGCCACTTTAAGCCTGGTGGACTTCAACTCCCAGGATTCCCCAGCCGATCGGCTGGGGAATCCTGGGAGTTGAAGTCCGCCAGGCTTAAAGTGGCCAAGGTTGGACAACCCTACTCTACAAGGCAATGCCTCTCTTCAGGGATTTGATGGCCGCTATGGTGTCCTCTTTACCAGCTAAATATTTGAGTCTTTTCACCGGTCCTCTAGTTTTTATCCATCTTAAAATACGCAGACTTCAACTCCCAGAATCCCCTGGCCAAGCATGCGGATGAATTTTTAAGACTGTGGACTTCAACTCCCAGAATGCCCCACCACCACCAGCCTTGAGAAACCTCCTCCCCGATAAAAGCCGCAAGACCATCCAGTTGCAACCGGTGGGAACTGAACCAGAATCGAAGAGGGAGGAGGAAACCTCCGGCGAGATGATTCAGAGTTTGGGGGGGGAGGGGGGAATGAAAAGGATCCACTGGATCCTTCTTTGAACTTCCAGGGATCCCATCGTTCCGCATTTCAGCACACCCGTCCGCTGGGGACCTCTTTCTCTCCTCCCCCCATCCTTCGAGCAGGCCCAAAGGGCACTCCAGAGGTCAACTGAACTGCCCCCCCCCGCTCCGAATTGCCACAGACTCCAGCCTGGTTTTAACCCGGAGTCGATTCGGTTCGCCTTTGCCGGGGAAAATCGCTTCTCCCCCGAGGAAGCAGCCTTCCCGGAGGAGGCCAAAGGAGAGCTAGGCGGACAGTTGTTCCCTCCAGCCGCGGGTGGATTCCGCCTTCTCCGTCCCCCGGGGACGCCGCTCGGACCCTTCTAGCTAAGCCCGACCGGGAAGCATGGGAGGTGGAGTCCTTGAAATCTGGAAGGAACCTGCCTTAGGGGAGGAAGAGGAGGAGGAGGAGAAGGGGGGGCTTGGGGTGCCGAGACGCTCCAGCAGCGGCCCGCCTGCCCAGAAACGCCCCCCGCGGTCCCGGGAGCCGGCCGCAGCGGCGGATGGATGGCTCAGCCTCGGTCGCTGGTGCAAGCAGGAGACCCAGCGGGCTTGCAAAGGAGGGGAGGGGGCCTTTTCGAAGCCCGACCAAGCGCGGAAGACCAAGCGACAGAGGGGGGGGGGCGCAGCGGCCCGTTTCCACGAAGCCCCCCCCCACTGAGGGCCGGGGGTGGGAGACGAGGGGCAGGAGGGGCTGCAAGGGGGGATTGGCGAGCGCGGTTCTGCCCCCTCCCTCCCCATCCCCGCGGCCGCGCTCCTGCTCCATCCTCGCCGCCCCCAGACCCATTAAGGCGACTGCAGAGAAAGGAGCCCGCGCAGGCGACCCGCGCCCATCGTCCGCCTCCCCCGGTTCAGGTCGGGCAAGGAGGAGCCTCCCCCGTCCCTCGCCCCCACAACCCAACCGGGGGGGAGGGGTGTTCCGACGCCCCTTCCCCACGGGACAGCCGGAGGACCCTCCCACCCCCCCACCCCCCAGGCAGGTCCCCCGGACCCCCCCCCCCCCCCCCGCACCCACGCGGGCCCCCCCCCCTCCCCGCCTTCCCTGCCGCCCCCTCCTCCCTCTCCCTCTCCGGTGGGGGGGGTGTCCCCCAATCCGGCGCGACCCCTCCCCGCCCCCGGCCCCGGGAAGGCGGCTGGGCTCCGCTTCTCTCTCACCAGCTGCTGCTGCTCCTCCGGAGAAGGCTCCCCGGCGGCTCCTCCGGGCTCGGCGGCGATGCGCAGCGCCTGCCGGACCCGCCGTTCCTGGCGCTCCCGCAGCAAGTGGAGCTCGCACAAACCGGCCAGGGTGCCTTCGAGCCAGGCGCGCAGCCGGCTCCGCTCCGGGCTGGCCGGGAAGGAGAAGGCGCGGATCATGATGCCGCCCAGCCGGCCAAGGCACAGCTGCAGCCCCGTCGGCTTCGGCGGCCGGGCGGGCGGCGCCTCCTTGCTCGCTCGCAGCAGCTCCGGCGCCGGGGGGAAAAAGCGCAGCGGCGGCGGCGGCGGCTGCTGCTGCTGCGGTGGCTGTCACCGCCTCATTTGCATGGGCGCCGCTCATTGGCTCGCTCTCCCCGCTACGGATTGGGAAGACCTCGGCTTCTCATTGAGCCCCCCCGCCCGGCTCAGCGCCACGCCTCCCATTCAAACAATTGGGCCCTCGCCCAATCGAGCCACGCCATTGGTTCCGCCCCCCCCCCACCAGGCTTCGGGCTTTATTTACAAAAGGACCCGCCCCTCCCTCCCTCCCTCTCGCCGCCGCCGCGCGGTGGGGATCGGCCATTGGCTCAGCTGGGAGGCTCTATTTGCATAGCGTGCGCCCTGGAGTTCCAGCCATTGGAATTTCGTCCGTTGGGACCCGCCCTTCGCAGCGAGCTATTGGTCGGCTGGGGAAATACATCTGCATAAGTCCGGCCGCGGAGCTTCCAGCTCCTGGACACACCTTCATCTGCATAAAACGCCCCGCCCCGAATGCGCGTCCTTGATTTGCATAACCGAGCCCTTGTTTCAAGCCATTGGTTCCCTTGCCTTATCTGCAAGCCACGCCCTGCGATTCATCTATTGGTCCGCTCGGCTCAATCGACCTGGCCGGTCACGCCCTGTGCTGGGGGAGCCACCGATGCCCGGGACCTTCAATCATTTGAAACCATTAATTAAACGAACAATCAATCGGAACAAATAGTCCAGAGTTCCTCAACTCCCTGATCTCCGCTTCCCCAGCACGCCTGGACCCCAGCAATATCATTTGCCAGCTCATTTGCATGTCTCCGCCCTCTGCTGGCCCAAGCCCCACCAGCTGCTCATTGATAAAAATCGGGCCCCGCCCACCGAAGTGAAAGTGTTTCCCACCGCCCGACTTTTTCTGAATGAATGAAGCTTCGACCCAAGCATCCTTCCCTCCCAGCAGGGCCCCGGAGATTCTTTGGTCCCAAAGTGTGCCGAGAGCGGCTTTTCTCAAGCGGGCCCCCAGCCAAAGGGGGCTTCCGGGGGGATCCCCGCTACTAAATGCCGGGGGGGGGGGGGGGGGGGGGGTTGGGCCCCGGGGGCCCCGGAGGGGGTGGGGGGGGGCGGGACGGCTTGGCGCCTGGGGTCCCCGAAAGGTTTGGGGGGGAACGCACCCGCCGACTGTCCCTCTGCAGTTCAGACAGGCGTCGCTACGGAGGCCGGCTCAAATCCACGCGCACCCGCACTCCGGGAGTGGAGGGCGCCCGGTTGGGGAAGGTAGGTGGGCTGACTTGGGGGTTCCGACTCGGTCCCGGAAAGGGAACTTTTCCCCTCTAAGCAGCACTCCGGGAAATCAGCTCCCCAAAAGCAGGAGGCCAAGACCCAATATTGGGCATTCTCTGGACGAGGTGGTGCTTCCCCGTTCTGTACCTTCCCAATCAGTGTAAAAATGAGGTTTTTGGAGAATGGAAGGAAGGGAGGGAGGGAGGGAAGGAGGAAGGAGGGAGGGAAGGAAAGAAGGAAGGAAGGAAAGAAGGAAGGAGTCACAGGGAGGGAGGGTGGGAGAAAGGAAGGAGGGAAGGAAAGGAGGGAGGGAGGGAGGAGTCAGGGAGGGAGGGAGGAATCAGGGAGGAGGGAAGGAAGGAAGGAAGAAAGGAAGGAAGGAAGGAAGGAAGGACTCAGACAGAGGGAGGGAGGAAGGAAGGAAGGAAATCCCATCCCCCCCCCCCCCCCCCCCACACACACACACACATACCCTGCTGCTAATAACCCTGGCTGAAGACTTGAAACTGGGAGCTTCCCAGGAAAATTTGGGGGAGCATCTTTGACATGAGCCATTTGAAGAGTTCTGAGCATCTTTTTTGGGATGGGGAGAGAAAGCGTCAAACTGACCAGACTCCTCCTCTCCCAGGGCCCTTCTGGGATTTCGGACTACAACTCCCATCACCCTACACACCTTGGGCATTGGGTGGGGATGGAAGATGAGGCCTGCCACACCTTGGAAGGCCCAGCTTGGAAAAGGGCTTTGCTTTGAAGAGTCCCACCACAGAGGAACCATGGTAGGAGACGATGGCCGGATTTCTGACCAACAAAACACACACACACACACACACACACACACACACACATTGCAAAAGGGGGAAAGTTGGACTGTCCCTTGGATGATTCTTGCAGGAGAGAAACCTGGAGGAGAGGCTGCCTCTCAGCTTCCAGGGAGCAGCCATGCGCCGCGATGCTCCAGCGGCCAGGAGGAAGGGGCTGGCAGAAGTGACAGTGACAAGGATGGGTAGCAACAGTGGTTTATAAATGGTGGGGATAATAATAGTGTGAGGAGGTAGCCATGGTGATGGAGAAGCGGGTAGCCATGGCAATGGCAGTAGGGGGGAGAGGAAGGATGCTGGCAGCCTTTTGCTAAGGACAGTGAGAAATCGCAAGGTTGGCCTTGGGGGGGGAAAGGAGGAGAAAGGAAAAGAAGAAGGAGGCTCTTTGAAGCTGCTGGGAAGCGGTGGTGAAAAATATTCCTCTCGCCATCCCGCTGGGTTGCCCACAAGGAGTCTCACCCAATGGGTGGGTGCAGGTGGGATGCAATTTGGAAATGATCTCCCCCCCAAAGCTGATCCCCCAAAGGCTTGGCTACCCAAGAGGGGGGCACAGACTTTCACAGCAGGAAACTCAAAATAAAACTCCGCAAGGCCTCCCCTCCACCCACCAGACCAAAAGGGGTATTAGTAGAGGAGGAGTAACAGCGGCTTTTAAGCAGCTGCCGTTACCTCTCTGGCTCTCAGGAGTAATCCTGAGCCGATGCAAGATGCATTTCTTCCTCCCCATTGGGTACCTGTGTCAATTCCATATCTGGAGCCCTTGTCAATTTCACACCTGGAACTCTTGTCAATTCTCCATCTAGCACCTGTGTCAATTCCCCATCTGGAACTCATGTCAATTCCTCATTTGGCATGCTTGTCAATTCCCTATCTAGAACCCATGACCATTCTAATCCGGAACCCATGTCAATTCCATACCTGGAACTCTTGTCAATTCACCATCTAGAACCCATATCAGTTCCCTCATTTGGAACGCATGTCAATTCCCTATCTAGAACCCATGTCAATTCCCCATTTGGCACCCATGTCAATCCCCTATCTAGAACCCATATCAATTCTCATCTGGAACCCATCAATTCCTCACCTGGCATGCATGTCAATTCCCCATCTGGAATATATGTCAGTTCTCCACCTGCAACCCTTGTCAGTTCTATACCTTGAACTTGTCAATTCCCCATCTGGAACCTGTCAATTCCACCCCTGGAATATATGTCAGTTCTCTACCTGCAACCCTTGTCAATTCCATACCTGGAACTTGTCAATTCCCCATCTGGAACCTGTCAATTCCACCCCTGGAATATATGTCAGTTCTCCACCTGCAACCCTTGTCAATTCCATACCTGGAACCTGTCAATTCCACCCCTGGAATATATGTCAGTTCCCCATCTACAGCCCCTTGTCAATTCCACACTTGGAACCCGTGTCAATTCCACTCCTGGAAGCCTGGCCAACCTAGAGCCTGCTGGCAGCCGGCCTTTTAGCAGATCTGCGTGTGCCTCTCCGAGAAGGAACACATCGCCTTGCTAAAACCCGCCACCGCCGAATCTGTTGCAGGCCTCCAGATTTTCTAAGCGCATGCAGAGCGAGAGGGGCCGCGTGCCAAGGCATGTGCAGCAGAGTCGTGTTCTGGAAAAAGTGATTGGAAGGAGGAAAAAGCTGTTTATTGTCTGTTTTCCATTGTTGCTATAGCCACAGCCTGCATGGAAAGTCCTCCTGCCTCCCCTCTACTTCAAAGTAACCTCGTCGCCAGGCATGGACGGATTCCAGGCAGCCTGTGCAGAGGAATCTCACCAGGGACCAGATCCTTTAAGGCAGGGTTTCTCAACCGGGGCAGCTTTAAGACGGGTGGACTTTAACTCCCAGAAGTCCCCAGCCAGCTCTGCTCCGTCCTTTGCACAGCTGGAAAAAAATCTATATTTCTCTGAAAAACAAGATTCTTCTCTCTGGAGAGGATATGTGTAAGTCTAGAGTTGTGGTGTCATCTTAATCTAGTGTGCATGTGATTTTGTGAGGCTTTCTGAGACATTCACATGCTGGCTGGGGAATTCTGGGAGTTGAAGTCCACCCATCTTCAAGCTCATTAGCATACCAGATAGGGAATTCTGGGAGTTGAAGTCCACCCAGCTTCAAACTCAACAGCATTTTGGCTGGGGAATTCTGGGAGTTGAAGTCCACCCATCTTCAAGCTCATTAACATACCAGATAGGGAATTCTGGGAGTTGAAGTCCATCCCTCTTCAGGTTGCAAGCCTGTTGTTAGCCATCTCGTCTCAATTCCTACCGATTGCTCCTGACCACCCTTCTAATCTGCTGCCTGCTTGGATCCAGGATTAATCACCCCAAACCAACTTTTGCCACCCTCCCCTCCTCCCCCCAAAGCTTCCTTGGACCCATAGCATCCCTCAGCCTCTGCCACTGCTTCCTTCTGGTCTCTGCAAGCCCATCTCAGGTAACAGATAATCCGAATTGGAAGGGACCTTGTAGGTCATCTAGTCCAACCCACCGCCCAACTTTCTTTTCAACTGTAGGCAAATAATGTGGAACTCTTCTTAAAGTGGCACTTCCTAATGTGGCATTTTAGGGTCAGTTTGGTCTCGTAGTTATATACAGATTAAGAGTTGGAAGGGATCTAGTCCAACCCCCAGCCTAGCAGACCCTACACCATTTCTGACAGATGGCAGTCCAACCTCTTCTTGAAGGTCTCAAGTGATGGCGCTCCCACAACTTCTGAAGGCAACTTCTGTTCCACGGGTTAATTGTTCTCACTGTCAGAAAGTTTCTCCTTATTTCCAGGTTAAATCTCTCCTTGATCAGTTTCCATCCATTATTCCTTGTCTGGCCTTCAGGTGCCTTGGAGAATAGCTTGACCCCCTTCCTCCTCTATGGGGCAGCCCCTCAAACGTTGGAAGGCTGCTCTCCTGTCTCCCCTGGTCCTTCTCTTCCCTACACTAGCCAGACCCAGTTCCTGCAACCGTCCGTCGTATGTTTCAGCCTCCAGTCCCCTCATCATCCTGGTTGCTCTTCTCTGCACTTTTTATAGAATCTCAACATCTTTTTTATAGTGTGGTGACCAAAACTGGATGCAGGACTCCAGGTGTGGCCTTACTAAAGCTTCATAGAGTGGTATTAGTCCCTCCCTTGATCTCGATTGTATCCCTCTTTTAATGCAGCTTAGGATTGGGTTGGCTTTTTGGGCTGCTGCTGCACTCTCAGAGTTGACCTTCCTTTTCAAAGTTGACCATCGTCAACTCATTCCAAAACCTCCACGCCTTTTTTGCATGATTGCAACCCCACGCAGCACCGTTTTCAAAAGCCCACCTTGCACAAATGACACACAAACCAGCTGGCCAAGTGGGGGGGGGGGGTCAATGGCCACGCCAAGTCTGGGCCAAGGCAGCAGAGACCCCAGCTGTTGAGCACCCCTGGAAAAGCAAGGGACGGGGGTCTTCCCAGCAAGAGACACCCCCCCCCCCCGCAACAGCAACAAAATGCAAAGTACAAACTTGAAGGATTTTTCTAGCGACTGGAAAGCGGAATGAAATCGAGCAACGCTGTAAGCTGCTCAGAAATGCTTGATAAGAGATGGGCGGTATATAAATTTGATAAACAGATATATAAATAGAAGGATCAATAAATAAATAAGCAAGAAGCCGATGGGCGTTTTCCCCATCCTGACTTCTTCAGCCAAATCTCCATGCAACTCAAAAGACGGCTTTTTCAAATCTAGGATTTAAATGTATTTTTATATACAGCACAACGTTTAGGTTATTTTAAAAAAACGAAATAGACATTTCAGGATATAAACAATTGTCCGAGGGAAGCTGCCTCTTCAATGCAAGGCCAAAGGCTACCAAGTGGCCACATCAGAGACTGCCCCGTGCTAAAAACTGACTATTTCCCCTTGACCAGTCAATGGTGGTTTATTCCACAAGCTCTGATGAGCGAAACAGAGTTGGTGCGGTTTGTGTGAAACCCAGTTATGTGCCAGGGCTGGGTGAGGGGTGGGAATCGGTGAGATCCAGCAGGAGGAGGATGGCCAAATTTAATAGCAGGGAGTAGAGATGGACCATTAATTTAATACATGCCAATATTGAGGGGCTGAAATCTTGGTGGCAAGAAGGGAAAATGCCACCTCGGTTGGGTTATGCAAACCACCTCAAGCCCACATAGTTCTCCTTCCCAACCTCATAATCCAGAGACCTGCAAACTTCTTCCGTACTTCCAACCATGTGAGAACTTACCATTCCTACCAGCCTGGCTGTGGACAGAAATATTTCTTTGCTGACCATCACGGAAAGCATTAGATTAGATGGAGAATTCCTGCTCCGCCCAAAAATTATGGGTTTGATCCAGGGGTCCCCAAACTTAGCCACTTTTAAGACTTGTGGACTTCAACTCCCAGCACTCCTCAGCCAGCTATGCCTGCTTTTCTCTCTCTCTCAATCTCCTAAAGTGGTGAGAGATTGCAGAGGAAGGGATTGCAAGAGAGTAAGCTCTGCTGGCTGGAGAATTCTGGGAGTTGAAGTCCGCCAGTCTTAAAGTGGCCAAGGTTGGAGATCTCTGGTTTAATCCTTCACGCCGGATATGCAGAATGGGGTCTGAATCTTTCAAAGAGAAATACTTTTTTTAAAAAAAGGGAGGGAGAACCACACAGTATTTCCCTACCCCCTGGGGGTTCCACATCTCTCTTCCGGCGCATGGATTTCGGCCAGCCCGTGTGGTTTGGAGGCAAAGACATTGGCCCACTGAAAGAGAAAGTGGCTTTGTCTGCACGCACAAGGAGCCACTCTTTTGCGGCGCTGGCCCGTTTCAAACGGCCGACTTTGGAAAGCTGACATGCTGTTTGGGAGACTTAGAGGAAGGAACAGAGATTTTGGAGGGGGAGGCATTCTGTTTTTGATCCCCCAAAAGTTGCATCCTGCTTGAAGACGGCCTGAGTGAGTTTTTGCCTGCTTGACAACAATCCTTGCCTCTCTGCTAACTCATTAAAAGAAGTGTTTCTTGAGCTTGACCACTTGAAACGGAGTGGACTTCAACTCCCAGAATTCCCCAGCCAGCGTCTTTCTGCCTGCCGCATGTTTCCTGCTGGGGAATTCTGGGAGTTGAAGTCCACCTTGCTTCAAGTGGCCAAGCTCAAGAAACACCGATTCAGTGATCAAAGAGACCAACTCCCACTCAGATTTATTATACTAGGGAGGTCTCCAAATTGAGCAACTTGAAGACTTGTGGACTTCAACTCCCAGAATTCCTCAGCCAGCATCTTTCTGCCTACTGCATGTTTCTGGCTGGGGAATTCTGGGAGTTGAAGTCCACAAGTCTAAAGTGACCAAGTTTGGAGACCCCGGTATTAAGAGATCCTCTCCCCCCAAAAGAATCTTCATTCAACCAAAAACCTCCATCAAAGAAACCATCACTGCTGGTCTTCAAGGTTCAACCTCCACCTTGAAACATCTCCGATGTTCCTTTACATCCCCCCAAAGTTGCCCCTGCACCCCTGGATGAGTGGGGGGGGACCCACAATCTGTAGCTCCCATCGGTTCTAGAATGAAGAAAACTGGCCGTTGTTGCGTTAACCCAGCACTATTGTTGCAAAGGGTTCAAACTAGGCAGATGCAACCTGCAAAGAAAGTCTCTCTCTCACACACACACACACACACATCAAAAGGAGTGGAGGAAAGAATGAATGCAGGGCTCTCTCCCAGGGTTCGGGGGACCCTCTACCCATTCTGCATGACTACCTCGCCCATTGTGGGTCTTTAGGACAAGAAAGAGGGCAGGTGGGTGGTTGCCAGCCAGAGGTGGTATTTGCTAGTCCTCAGAACTACTCAAATTTTTCTGCTACCGGTTCGTCGGAACCAGTCTGAACCGGCTGAATGCCACCTCTGGTCTTCTTAAACGTGGCTGTTGCAAGTCTTAGTAATTGTGGCCCCGGAGCAGCCAAAAAATGTTCCAATAGGTTCCATTTCTTTTTGTTATTTTCCAACCTCCAGAAATGAGATTATTGGGAAGGTGTTGAGTGCGAATTCAAGACGAGGCCGGGGTTGCTCCAGTCAAGGTCCTCCTTCCAGTTTTTTGGTCCTTCTTCGTCCTGCGGCAGGCCTTCAGAGGACGCTGACCCTCTCGGCCAAGCCTTGCATTTCCATCTCCTGCTCTCCGGCCTCCTCTTCCTCCTCCTCCTCCTCCTCTTCCTCCTGCAGCCGGCGAACGCGCAGGTGCTCGGGGTACTGCAGGCTGTGCTCGGCCGCAAAGTGCTCCCAGCGGGCGTCGTCGCTCTCGTGGGTTATGTAGCGCTCGCCCATCCGGCTCTCCAGCTCTCGGAGGTCCAGCCAGGTCTGGTAATCCTAGACGGGGAGGGGGAGAGAGTGGGGGGGGGGGGCAGAGGGAAACCACAAAGCAGGTTTGTTGTATTTGCAGAGGGTCCTAGGGACCAGCTGGTGAGCCCAAATCTCACTCCTTTCTGGCACGGATGGTGTTACCTAGTTGGGTCATGAAACGTCTGCACGAAAACTGTCAGGTTCAGAGAGCACCAAAGACCCCACAGTCCTCCTCCTCTTCTCCCCACTCCCCTCAAACCTACAAACCCCACTCCCTTCTAGCACTGATGATGTTACCTACTCTGGTCATGAAACGTCTGCAAGGAAACCAAGCTCGGAGAGGCCCGAGGTCCCCTCGATTGAAGACTTTTACAGTCTAAATGTACAGAGGCCACCGTGGCGGGGAAGACTGACCCAGAGCGATTCCATGCAACCCACCAACCCCCACCTCTCCCACCTACCTGTAGCCAAGTGTGGCTGAGTGACTTATCCACACTGTAACGTTTCCTCATCTTCACCTGCAGCAGGTTGTTGATCAGGTCGATGGCTAAGAGGAGGCAAGACAGGAGAAGCGAGCCTTCAAACGAGGACTGTTTAGGAATGAAATTCATTCAATTTCTGTCGCCACCCAACTCAACCCAAGTGATGCGAGGAGGGATGGAAGGATGGAAAGAAGGGAGAGAAGAAGGGAGTGATGGAGGGAGAAAGGAAGGAAAGGAAGGAAGGGAGGGAGGAAGGGAAGGGAAGGGAAGGGAAGGGAAGGAAAGGGAAAGGAAAGGAAGGAAGGGAGGGAGGGAGGGAGGGAGGAAGGAAGGAAGGAAGGAAGGAAGGAAGGAAGGAAAGGAAGCAAGAAGGAAGGAAAGGAAGGCAGGAAGGGAAGGAAGGGAGAAGGGAAGGGAAGAAAGGGAAGGAAAGGAAGGACGGGAGAAAGGAAGGAAAGGAAGGAAGGGAGGGAGGGAGAGAGAAGGGAGGGAAGGAAGAAAGAAGGGAGGGAGGAAGGAAGGAAGGGAGGGAGGGAAGGAAGGAAGGAAAGGAAGGAAAGAAAGAAGGAAGGGAGGGAGGGAGGAAGATGCTATACTGGCTGGGGAATTCTGGGAGTTGAAGTCCCTCCACCTTAAAGCGACCCAGCTCCCATCCTTTCAAGCCGCGCCCTCTTTCTAAAGGCAATTCACCTCCGACCGAGATCTGTCGCCACGGGTTGTGTGGGTACATGAAGTCGGCGTTCTGGATCTGGTCATTGATGTCCTCGTCCTCGTTGAACGGGAAGGTGCCGCTCAGGCTGACGTACATGATGACGCCCACCGACCACATGTCCAGTGAGCGGTTGTAGCCCTGGTTGAGTAGCACCTCCGGGGCCAGGTACGCCGGCGTGCCCACCACCGAACGCCGGAAGGATTTCTCCCCAATGATGCGGGCAAAGCCGAAGTCGCACAGCTTCACCTGCAGAGCCGAGACAGGACGGAGGCTTAATAGCTGACCGGGGTCAGCGGTATGTCAGGACTCCGGCAGTGACCCCCCCCCATTTAAATCATGAGCCTCGAGCGGAACTTCCAAAACTTCAAAAGGATTTAGTGGAAGTTAACATGCCAGCACTGCCTGGGTGTAGCCGACTCTGAGGTGCATCATTCATTGTCACCCTTTGTCATGTTGCTCGGCAAATGATTCGTAGTTACGACGGTCGCAGCATCCCCCCAGACTTTCCGGAAATACCAGAAGTGACGAAACGTGCCCATTTTTCGGCCTCCAAGGCTGCAGAGGCTTCCCTCGAGCCTCTGGAAGGCCGAAAAAGACCCCAAAGTCAGCAGGAGGAACACACATGTGCACTGCAGGTAAGGGGGGGGGGAAACCCGTGTGCATTGCCTTCTGGGTGCCGTCTCACGTGAGTACACGCACACAATTTTCGGCACAGGACCCCGTAAAGGTTAGCCACCACTGCCCTAGGGAATACGACGACGGTCGTAACGGTGAGGAGAAATGTTGGGCTCCATTGTGGTCATAAGTCAAGGACTGCCCTGTAACTCAGTTAACTTGAACTTTCCCACAGGGGCCTCATCTTTCACCCCGGACACGAAACACAATGTGTGGCCCTGAGATTTTTGTGGACTAAATTCAGCAGTTCCTCTCCATTTCGACTGCATTCCCAGGCCCCCTTTCTCTCTCTCTCCTCGCTTCCTTTCCATTCCTGAGGCAAAACCCACCTTGTTCTCCTCAGCCAACGTCAAGCACAAGAACACGTGTGGAAGAAAAACATGGTTACTTTTTTTTTAAGTCAAGCGCCACGCATTCATCGTTACACGTAATTCAGTCTTTCAACCACGCTGCGCTCGGGGATCACGGCCAGCCCTGAAGGGAATAATTCTCAAGGGGGGGGGGGAAGAGTTCATGGTTGACTTGAATTCTTGAAGAATTGGGGTCAACTATCCCCCCACCAACAGTGGGACGCAGTGGCTCAGAGGCTAAGATGCTGAGCTTGCCGATCAGAAAAGGTCGGCAGTTCGGCGGTTCGAATCCCTAGCGCCGCAGAACGGAGGGAGCTCCCGTGACTTGTCCCAGCTTCTGCCAACCTAGCAGTTCAAAAGCACGGGGGGGGAAAATGCAAGTAGAAAAATAGGGGCCCCACCGGCGGCATATAAAGAGAATGCTTATAAAATGTTTTACGACATTAGCTGTATTAGATGGATCCCAATATGAATCCGGCATGTTGGAAGTGCTCAAAGAAAAAAGGCACATTCTATCACACGTGGTGGTCCTGCCCGTAGACCCAAAAATACTGGTTAAAAATTAAACAATGGTTGCAAGGGATTGTTAATGAACCAATAGAATTAGAACCGGGAATTATTTTTATGGGGGATATTCAAAAAGAAATATGGGAGAAATATAAAATATATAGTGCTACATATTCTAACCGCAGCCAGAATTGCTTACGCCCAGTGCTGGAAACATACATGAATACCACCAGAGGAATGGATTATTCAAAAAATAATGACTTGTGCTGAGATGGATAAATTAACACCCATGTTAAAAGAGAAAGAGGAGACTGAGTCTTATAAGACTTGGGGAAAATGGTATGATTGGATTGAGCAAAGATAGATAAATGGATGACGGAAAAAATTAATGATAAGCAACATATAAACTAATGTTTATATTTGCATAAATGGTATATATTTGTAAATAATCCACAAAATAGTAGTCTAAGACGAATGCCACAAACTGTTGGAAGTTAAGATATTTGTACTCCTTGGTTGTTTTTTTTAAGTCATAAAAGACTAATAAAGTTTATTTTAAAAAAAGAAAAGGAAAATAGGGACCCCTTTGGTGGGAAGGGAACAACGTTCTGTGCGCCTTCAAAGGCATTTAGTCGTGCCGGCCACATGACCACGGAGACGTCTTCGGACAGCGCTGGCTCTTCTTCGGCTTTGTAACGGAGATGAGCACCAGTGCCCCCACAGAGCCGGAAACGACTAGCATGGATGTGCAAGGAGGGGAACCTTTATCTTATCCCACAAACGCCATTTTGCCTTTTGGGGTGACAGGGACGCTAGCGTGCAACAGGGAAGCTCCGAGGTTTGTCCAGAGGTGCCCAGGACACGCCTTAATGCAAAGAAACGGTTTACCTGCGGAAAGGGCTCGGCGGACGCCAGGAGGACATTTTCAGGCTTCAGGTCGCAGTGGACGATGTTCTTGAAATGCAGATGTCGGAGGGCAACCAGGACCTGAGGGGACAGGAAATGTCCAGAAGAAACAACTTTGCCATCAAGTAACTTCTAGTGTCAACAGAGCAGGATCTTTGGAGCTCTCTGAGTGGAGCTGAGAGGTCCTTGGTGCTCTCTGAGTGGAGTGGTTTGCTTGCAGACGTTTCATGACCTAGCTAGGTTATGTCATCAGTGGTGGGAGGGAATGGGGTTTGTGGAGTGGAGAAATGGGAGGAGGAGGAGGAGGAGGAGGAGGAGGAGG